TATTATTATTATTATTATTACTACTACTACTACTACTACTACTACTACTACCACTACTACTATAGCATACGTGATGGTACTTCATCTTCTCGCTCCCGCTCATCCAATTCTCATCAATGGGTGCATCAGCAGTCTACATGAGGCTTTTAATTTCCTGTAGCTGCTTGTGTTTTCAGCCCATTTCCTGTATTCGTTTATTTTTTCCCGCTTCGAACGTAAGCCATCTGGTCATTGACTGGTTCCTATGCGAGTAATGGACAATTTGGTTGTTCCGTGAGGTCAATAGCCGCGCAGTGTCTACCAGAATACCCGAGTGGGTCATTGTGATACAGGGTTAGGTGGGAATCGACTTCCGGGATTTTTATTTCTCGGGCACCCTGATTCGGAGATTTGGACTTCGGACGGGCAGCAAACATCCACGTGGTATTGATGAAGACTGCGCGCCGTCAGACTTTGGGACTCAGAAGTCTTCGCATATTCCAGCATTCAACACGAAGAGTCCGTTCCTGGTTGCGTAGTTCAGCTCGCATACTACTCGCTCACACCACTGGACAAGGCTTGCGGAGCGCATCGGTTCCCACGGATGCCGTAGCTTGGATCGTAGTATTGTAAGTTGACATGTTCATGAGGGTTCTTGGGGATTTTGAATACAGGCGGGTCCCCAAGAGCTGCTCGGATCGTTTCTTCGAGGTTGTCTCTTATAGCACTTTAGCTCAAGAACCTAACCACAAAGTTGCGGTGGCAAGCGAACCTATTTACTGGCCGTTCACGCTCGCCGTGTCACAGTGCCATCGTTGGGATTTGCGGCATTTAATATGACATTCGGTGCGCCAAACGGCCCTCCACGACCAGGTAACACTGTCGCTGCTGTTCCGCGACCGCTTATTCGCCAGGCCCAGGAGCCTGTTTATTTCACAGCTACCATTCGCTGAAGGCCGTGCCACTATCCGCCACCTGTGGACGCGCCAGTAGCTAGCCAGTAGGTAGGCTAACGGGTAACCCGTCGCACAGCGGCTAGTAGCCTAGACAGATAGCATTGCCGGAAAAAGACAAGGGAGACCGGAATGTAGAAGTGAATTTAATATAGAGGCATTTTAAATAAATGTTTTACACCGCGCAAATGGAGGCAAACGTAGAAACTCCCAAAACCTGGCATGGAAATATAAGCTCGTGAGGCGGACGACGGAGAACGTGCCCAAACCAACTCAGTCGTCTTCTTTGGATGTCTTGAAATACCCGCGCGATATTGTCGCAGCGAGTGCGGTCTGTCTCATTTGGAACGAAATCTGTATACTTCACTCGAAGGATTGCATGAGGAATCTTGGGAATTTTTGAATACAGGCGAGTCTCCAACAGCCGCTCGAATTCTTTGTTCGAGGTCGTTTCCTCTAGCACTTTGGCTCAAGAACCTAACCACCAGGCAGCGTTGGGAAGCAAACCTCGTTACTGGCCGTTCACGCTCGCCATGTCACAGTGCCGTCATTGGGATTTGCGGCATTTTAAGGCAGTCGATACGTCAGACCTCAGCCATCTGTGCCCTGGTAGCACTGTCGCTGCTGTTCCGCGACTGCTTATTCGCCAGGTCCAGAAGCCTGCTTATTTCGCAGCTACCATTCGCTGAAGGCCGTGCCACTATCCGCCACCTCTGAACGCGCCAGGTAGCCAGCAGCTATACTGATGTGTAACCTTCCTTTCCGGCTCTTGTAAAGGTACAAAGTAATACGAACGGTTTTGCTTAGAAAATTCAACACAAGGACTACGTTATTGGCAAACACATGTTCTCCACTAATTGTGCGGTTGTGAAAACGCGCATGTGTATTTAAAGTGGGAAAACTTATTGTAGACTGCTACGCCTGGGGCCCAATAATCTTATCTGACTTGGCTTACTTAGCTCGAAAGAGGCTGATTTCTGAAAATAGAGGTCTTCCGAATTCCCGGATAAATTATACCGGCCACACACCCACAGACTACGTGTTTAAGATCAAAAGATCAACTAGTCCTGGTTTAACAACTGTTTGCAATTCGACCTCCAATAGGAGATAAATCTACTGGAACTGTATATCCTTCATACTTACAGTAGATGGGCTAACTCATGGAATCCAACGTTTTTACAAGAAACTCCCTGTTACCCAAGCAGCGACCCCTAAAATATTACAATAATAAGGTAATGGTCGTTCTTCAAAATAGTGTATATTGCGATTTATCAAGCAATATTACTTTGTTCAGAAATGCCAACTCTTTTTAGCAAAACGGAAAATTCCGAAAAAAGTGAAAATCGGGCGTACGAGGTAAACTTAAGTTTTAAATGTAGAGGAAGCCCGTTCATGCGAAAACACCGAGTGAATAAAGCAGCACAAGTAGAATTACATTAGAAGATAATCCTTGTGTGAAATCTGCGGATAGGTAGGCTTCCGTCTTACGCGCAATATAAAGTACCGCTGTTTCTAAACCGTCTGAATTTTAAGTGTGTATTTTAACGTTATTTCACGGATTCGCGAGTTGTTTCTTCCGTTTATACATTGCCTGAGTTAGATTTGACTAAGGCAACCAAACTTCGCTTGCTTTTGCCGATTGGAAGGTCACAGGATTAAGATAGTTCGTAAGCTCACGTGCGGGCATGCCGGTCAGTGACTAATCAGTTTAAATTGAATTGTCAGATGCAATCATAAGCGTACCATTTTTTGTACACTGACATATATTTTATTCCGCCAAATTTCCTTGTAATTATTTTGGGATTTCGATTACGACGAGGTTCAGATCGTTCTTGAAATAGTGATTAATATTTTACGATTTTCACTGGCTTCAGTCGGTTGACCATAAATAAGGACTATATTCCAAGTGCTTACCAAAACCTTCAAATAGGATATCTCTTAAAAGTATTTACCTAAATAACGAGTTTTTGAACATTTATTTTTATTGTAGATGAGAGGAGGTATGCATTCCGAACGATATAATGAAGAAAGGAAGTGAATCTTCGGAAAAATCAAGATGAACTTGTTAATTTTCGAGCTGGGGACACCGGCTCTTCGACAGACGAAAGTGAGAGTAAGGTTACACCATGCAACAGTCTGTTTGGGCCATGGTTTTAGAATCATCCAAACATGTCAACTCATTGCCGAGAAGAATGAACGTCTACAACAAAAATCGCGAATGAATATGCTTAAGATTAATTAAAAGAAAACTTTCTATGACAAATCGCCTTTTGGAAAAGTGCACTAATTAGATATTTCGGCATTGAATACCTGTTTACTTAACCTTTTTTAAAGATAACGTCAAAATCAATATGGAAAACTTTGGCCAGTTTTTCACTTCCCTGAAAATGAGGGATAAATATTCAACTGAAACTGAAAGAACTCACTTTTCTATGTATACCGGAACAGTTTTTAGTTTTTTTATACTTCTAGGCTCAGTTCTAAGATAACGAATGCAGCACAGAGTGGGAGATTATAAACGAGGATTTTGAGAAAACTGATAACCTTCTGCCCGTTCCGTTTCAAGTTTTTCTATCCGTTCATTCTGCTCCATAGATAGAAAATGTTAGTATATCTTTTGCATACGGCTTGGCAGAGAAAATGGACGGCAGGTCTCGGGTGTTTGCATTCAAGACCACCAGACTCAACTACCACTCATCTGATGATGGAAGCGAGAAGGTTTTCGAAACGTCAGTTCAAATATAATTTGGTCCATGAACCCGCCCCCTCTTCTTCTTCCTTACCTTTGGAAGATGATGAACGCGATGACATATCTGGACCCCGAATCTTTCGGCATTTAAACATGTACTTGTTTACTGTCGTTATTTTCAGTGGGATAACACAACTTACAGCTATATAAGTATACTTGTTCATTTTATGTCGCAAAATTTAGCAGGTGTGCAAAATGGAATTTTCTAACACAATTCGTTCTTCTTTCCCGACCATACTGCGTTATCTCATAAGTGCACTCACCTCAACTTCATGAACGCAATACAAAATTGTCTGTTTTCTGCACACATACGGTTAAACAGCTTTTGCATTTTATTAATATTCTTTTAAAGTACGACACGCATAAACATGACGTTTTTTCTGCAGCGTTTAATAGTGTAGAGAACTCCTTGGATATCAAGAAATGTTGGATTCAGCCCCAATCAGAAACATGAACGAACACCGCCAGTACACGGCCCCAACCAAAATGTTTGCATTTCGGAAGCAGGGCTAAGCCCCGAATTATCTCTGCCCTAAAAGTGAGCAGTTACTTCAGCAAAATCACCGTCAAATTAAGCACAATACCCAGGAACACTAGTACCAGCGAGAACGTAGCCTGTGTGTGCAAATAGCCCTCACCCAATCGTGCAACTCGAGCTGTTAATCTTTGTTTCAGTGAATTAATTTTCAAAGCCGGCTGCGTGGCCTTTGGACCTACCTGACACACAGTCAACCGCGTTTTTTTGCAAACCTTGTCAATACCTTAACGCTACCAGCGTGCTCCTTGCCCGCAAGGCAGAGATGCTTTGTCACCACCTATCGAAGAACCTATCGCAGGAGGTTAAGTGGGTCAAACCCTAGCAATTGCGATCTTCAGACCATGGTTTTTTAGGAGAGAAGAAGTCGGTAGAGGTCAGGGTAGTAGGAATAGTTTATTCTGTATACAGAGGGAAGAAGTTTGGCTTCGGAGCGCACGACCAGCT